AAACAATTTTAGAATATTTAAATAAATTTGTTTTTGATCTTTGATAAACAGTATATAATTTTATGCACTTACCTTTGATACGATGAAAAATAAAGTTGATAATTAAAGGAAGTTTAAAGGTAAATAATTATCGGACTGTTGAAAGACCAATAATTATTATTAACGACAGGCATTTGAAAATACGCTAATTGTTTTTTTTTAAATTGCGAGACATCGATTTAAAAAAAAAAATAATCAAAATCCGACCTTTAGAAGCTGACATATTAAAAATTTTTAATCGCGTCGCGGTTTTGAACTCTCCGATTCAATTTCGAGCAGGCCGAAGCGGCAGAGCTTGAAGGATTCGAATTTTTCAAAAAGCGTTTGAAAGCTTGAGAGCCCTTCTATATGTGATTAAAATTTCAAGTATCTAAGGACCTTGGTTTTTGCTCTGCAAAATTTTGGAAATTTGCAAATTTTTTTTCAAAATCTGGATTGCAAAATTATTACGTAAGATCTATCAAACCGATTTTGATGAAATTTGGTGTGATGATGCTACATAACATGAACTTTTCTTGAACCATGTATGAAGGTTCTATACCCAATTTAAGACCCCAAAAAAAAATCCTAAAAAGTAAAGTTTTTAACCCATTTTTGGCGATTTTTTCGATTTTTAGAATAATAATCATGATTCATTCGATTTGTAACTAGTCATATTTTGTAAAATTTAATTACAAAAATGTTTTTCCTCTACCATTTTCGCTTAAAATCAACTCATGAAAAGATACATAATTAAATAGGAAGAAAAATATGACATTTTTCGAATTTTTGTAACATATTGTGCCGCCAAAAGTTAAACCCACTTTTTTTATGCGCATAGAAAAATTTTCATTTCTAGTGATATTTTAAAGCCAAAAAGCCAAAAATCTCCGTGGATATACTATTCACCCAAACCAAAACAAATATCGCCTAGTCTATTATCAGAACAATCCATTTTAATTTAAAAATTAAAAAAAATTAAAATGGGTTATTCTGATAACGAAAAATAAAACATAATTAAACTGTAATAATGTGCAAAAGTTCTTCAGGAATATCAGAAAATTTATTTTAGAGGACGAATACCGTCAACGAACACTAAAAAATATTATTAGAAACCTTAGGTGGCCAGAAAACAGTCCTTTAGACATATCTTATGGGAACACTTCAACAAAATATATCATTAAAGACCTCAAAATTTACAAGTATTGAAAGAAAAAATACAGGACGAAATGTTTGATAAATCTGAATTTGTTTTTAAAGCAATAAATAGTAAATTAAAGCATATTTTCAACTGTATCATCACAATTACTTGCATGTTGAAAATTTGTAAAAATTGTAGGTATTTCAATGTTATTTCGTTTTTAGGTATTATCATTATGTTGTTGTAAAGGTTTTAAAGGAAATGATGTGCATCTTCCTTTAAAAGAATATCAATAGATTTACCAACTTGGCTGTGGTTGTGATGATTAGTGATCACTAAGTCAAGAAGTCTGTTGTTAGAATTGACTACATTATTTATTTGGATTATATCAAAAAACCTTGAAAAAGTTTCAAGTGCCAGAGTCCGAGCAGTGAAGTTATTGTATATTACATAATTCAAACCATAAACAATTTATCGCTGTATCTGTTTGAAGAGAAGTAACGAAACAAACTTAGTACTTCCCACCACAAGTTGAATATCTTCAACATTTTCTGCATAAACGAATTTTTGAGTTCTGAAAAGAACTAGGTATTTCTTTTCAATTCGCAAACAGAACAGAATGCCTTCTAAATCGTTCGAAGTACATAAATACATGAATAATATAAACGTCATTGGCTCAGAGGATTGACGTTTTACCTAGAATCCCAGTTCGTGACTTTTCTTTGGTATATCTAAACTACCAACCTAACAAAACCAAACTTATATCTGTGAAACAAGAAATAAATCGAAAACGGTTAAATTTATCGACATAAAACAAGTATCCCTTATTTGTGAAAAATAGATAGGAGGACAATATTTTTCTATCAAAACTTTCGTACACACACTGGTAAAAATGTTATAACCAGTTTTTATCNCATTAATTTCGGGACACCCTGTATAAACCCAGTAGTCGGAAATGAGCAATTTTTGTCCAAAACCGTGTTGTTATTACGTAATAACAATGACCCCAAAAGGCTTCGATATTTCAGTAATTTTTATTAGGGATAACGCAAAAATAATAAACGGTTTGGTAGAACCACTGTCGGTGCAGTTCGTGATGTCAACTTCCTACATCCGGTTTAAAGTTGCTTTTTTCTCTCAACTGACGATGGATTCATGAATTTGACTGAATTAGGTCCGATCATTTTTTATTACGTGCAAAAGAGCACGCAGTACAGTGCAGATAAAATCAATTTTTACCAACGTCGTATGTAAGACATGGAATTGTATTGGCAAACACTTATCAGCACAGATAAACGTGTTTATTTTGTTTCAAATCATTTTATTCGCTATCTTTAATAAGAATTATTTAAATACCAACATTTTTTGGTGTTTTTAGGTTTTATTTAATTACTGAAATACACTTAAAATGAATTTTTCGAGACAAAACGTCGGAATCTGGTTCGGACTGAGGCAGTACAATGTTGGGGGTCATGAAGGCTTGCAAAACATGTAATAAAACTTCTAGGGTCGTAAAAAAACGAAGTTGATGATGGTCCTGGGAGACGAAAACAAACAAGGCTGAAATGAAACAAAAACGGATTTCCAAAATTTCGTTTTTTTTCAAATATTTCGAAAACTAATCATGTTAGCCCTGACTTTTTAGAGGCACAATGTTGGTCCCCTGATTATGCAACTTTGCCCCCATTTAAGCTAGTTTGTATCTCTTACTGTTTTCGAGATCCCTGTAGTGAGAATCGAATTTGTAACAGCCCATATACACAGGGTGTTCCGTTCATGTTTCCAAAAAAACTTGTGTGCAAGTTCCTCATGGGAAAATAATAGGTGTAGGAAAATAAGAATTTGATACCAAAGATGAGGTATCTTAATGTACAAAAAAATTATGCCGTCCCAACACATTCAATCTACGGCAGCTAGCGCCCTCTACGAACTATCACCAAAATATGAACAAATTTCAATTCCTCTACCCAAAGAACCCCAAAACTCAAAATTTTGTGTAGATATTTGCATTTATTAAGAAATAAATGGAAATAAACTAAAATAATATTTTACATTTAACACCCTGTATCTCTTTGGACAAGGTAAGTTCGGCTAAATCGCTATATTTTGGCATCGGGAATCTATCCATGAATTTTGGCCCATTACCTCGGGACCACCCTGTATTTTAAAATAAAATGATAAACGCATCTTTTTAAGCAGAAAACCTTTTCTATATAACATTTCTTTCTATCTCGACTAGTTTCCGAGATAATGCCTGTCAAGATAGCTCTGGGATACCCTGCATTTGGATATAAATATTTCTCAGTAATAAAAAATATTTTGTTTCAAACTTATAACACCTATTACAAGAGCTGGGATCGTTCGTAAGTTTAACCAACCAGACATACGTTGGTTGGGGACTAGTGATGTCAATATTGTAATTATTCCTTACTTTTTATCCGTTACTTGAATAAGTAACGAATACTGAATAATCGATGAGAAAAATATTCGATACTGATACTTTTTAAGTAGAGATTCTTCTCCAAGTTTCGATACATGTAATCACGATAATCGGTAATACTCGGATTCGGTTCGGAATATTTACTGAACGCGTGGATTTCAGATTTCAGATTCAGATTTCAGATCAATAATTAATCAATGTAATTATTTAATTCGCAGTTTGCTGCAGTATAATAGTAGATACCTATGCACCTGAAGAACGTAAATAATATATAAACATACAAAACTTAAATTATTTATATATTTATTAACATTTAAATAAGCAATTATTTTTTAAATTTATTTATTTTAAACACAATATATATATATTCTACTCTTGTCTTATAAAAATAGAAATATCCAAAATAACAAATAACGTAATTTATCAATTCAAAACTATTTACTGTTTTGTGCGAATGCCTGCTACTACAAAGTTTTATGAATAAACAAAAAATCGTTGCAGTTTAGAAAAATTATTTTGTTTACATACTTGGATTTTAATAATCTATTATTGCGCAGTTCTGTTATTATTTGACCTGCCTTAGAGGAAATACGTTCACTTGGAACAGATGTAGCCACGATGGATAAAATTTTATTTGCTAATATTGACAGTGTAGGGTATTTCGAGCGTGTGGTTGACTTTTGCGGGAAGTCGGCGTAGAAAAAAAGCCGCATATCGTGCCGGCCCGACTATACATAATATACGAAAGTAACGAGTACTCAACATAAAAGTAACGAATTACTCTGAGTACTAAAAAGTAACTGTATTTGATATCACTACTGGGGACTTGAATGACAATGGTCCTCATCATTATGTCCTTTGAGCGATCCAGGATCCATTTGGTTTACTCGTCGTTACTCACAGGGGATGTGTATACACAGAGTGTAAGTCCCACCTACGCCATTCTCTGACTTGCTACAATTTTCTTTCAAGAAACCATAAGTTTGATTATAATATGCTTCATTTGTCTTAAATAATTCCTACTTAATACTAAATTTTAAATATATGTTAGTTCTTAGGGATTGCAAGCAAGGTCATAAGGAATTTTGAAAGAAAAAAATATCGGTCCTGTTTCGTTTTATTGTTTTGAAGGGGAAACTTTTCCTCTTATTTTGATGAGTTACCTACTATCAGCGGTTGAACTTCGTTGCATTATTTTTGTAACACTTGTATAGATTATTGCCAATAAAAATTAATTTCAATATGTTTTTATGTGAAAAATTCCACTACTTATCGCAATTTCGGGTTTTTCGGGTCGAGTATGATAATAATAACGGATGCATTGAAAAAGAATACTAATCACCGTAGAAAATCTTATCGAATCCATGGCATTTAGTATAAAAGTAGACGGCACAGTGTAGTTTCTCATTACATCTTCAGTGTCTAATATTAGTGACCTAAAGCTAAAAGTACGAGAATGAAGGTCTTGGCATCTTTGGTTTTGTTAGCTTTGGTAAATTATGCTTATTCGACAGATGTACAATCTTGTAAGTATATTTTAACCATTTATACTATAATAGTAGATCATTTATAATACATATTTTGGATATGTCGTTAGGTATTTTGAGAAGAGACACTGTATTATTATTATTATTTCCTTTGCAACCTCTTTTCATACGTATGTTCGACATATTATTGAATTTTCTCGTTCAGCAAATAACAAAGTTGAAATAAAAATGATCACAATGAAACCACCGTTGAAATAAAAATCTGAGTACACGGTGATACTATTTGCAAAAGTTTGTTGTAATAAACCCTTTATAGTTATTTACAAATAAAATTAGTAATACAAATTTTCTCTCTTTTCAAAATATTATTAAAACAGTCGAGCCGCTCGACATTAAGTTAACAATTTACTTAATTAACCATTTTCATAATTTACAAGATCCTAACTTATGAATTTCCAAAATGGCCTACTTAGGTAGTGTAGAATTCTTTAGCTCGACGGTTCTTACTCTGAAATAAAAATAATATGAGCTTCTTATATTATAAATATTCAAATGTATTTGAGCATTTATTTTACCTATTAGTAAATGCATATAAAAGCAATGCAAATAATTTCCAAAAAATTTTTTACAGGTCAGGATCTCCTTTTACCAGAAGTAACAGTGACCATAGACGGCACAGAGTGTACAACGGGACCATGTGTAGTCGGACTTGGATCAAATTATTCTATATTGATTTCTTTTGATACCCGTAAGTATTTATAAATACGTTTAATTAAACAAAAAAGTCGCAAATTTAAGTAATTTTGAGTTATATTCGGTCAATCAGAAACGAGTTTGTAATTACTTCTGATAACGAAGTTATAAATTCAACAAAATTAGTCGTACGAGCATCCAGGGTCATGATTGCTATCATGCTGATCGTTTTAATCTTGAGTTTTTTGGTATTCCTGGTTTGTGAAGAAACAGAAATACTGCAAAATAATATAGCGTTGGTAATTAACAGAGGAGTGCAAAAACACGTTTCTTTACGCAACACAACAATTTAAGTCAAAAAAAATCTTACAATCATTACAATTTAATATCTTCTATTGTCTCGTTAATTTCTAGCTGTCAAATTGGAGCGCATTAAGGCGAAATCTGTATCAACAGGATCAGACGGTGTATCAGTGACAGTCGTGTTCGAAGACGATACTTGTGATGGAATTCAAAACACGGTATGTCCAGTGGCAGCTGGGGGACACGTTGATTATTTATACGCCAGTGTTTTAGCTGAAGAATATTCTGAGGTGAGTAAAGTAAAGAATATTGAGCATCAGAGTTTCCATACCGTTTCTATTCTCCCTTCTACTACTGCAACTAATGTTGACTATACTAATTTGTTTTATAGCTGAATGCTACAATGGTTGTCACTTTACTTGACGTGGACAACGATGATACTGCAGTGCTATGCTTCTCCGTCGACCTTACAATTGACAATTCGTAATGTAGACATTTATACAAATATAAACAGGAAAATGTATGTAGGTATAATGTAGATGTTGAAATATTTTAATGAAAATATATATAATCTGCTCTAAATTTAGAACCAGAGTTTTATTCCTAACATAAAGCAACTGAAACAACAATACATTTAATTTGTGCAAATCCATTTCTTATTGTTTGTTTACCAATAGTGCTCTGCCTCACCCACCGAGTGCTCTACTCAGAACCAAGGGGAGATTTGTTTATATTTCCAGCCATTTCCGAGTTACGAGCAAAAACCGTTTTTTTTTCTCATACGTTGTGACGTCATAGCTCGATGACGAAGGCTAAAAAGTCCACGCGCTCTACCCCACGCTCCCTCCAGAGACTCCTGAAGACAGCAGAGAGAGAGACAAAGAGTGAAAAGCCCACTATGAGGACAAAGTCACTCTATCTCTATCGCACACTATAACTCTATCTCTCTCACACACAACCAGGCAAAAACTACAGAAACGAACTTTCTTTTAAAAATACATGGGATTTATCATTATAGTCCAGACGTATCTGTTTCAAAGTTTCCATATTTGGGTGAATCGTATATCCACGGAGATTTTTGGCTTTTTGGCTTTAAAGTATCACTAGAAATGAAAATTTTTCTATGCGCATAAAAAAGTGGGCTTAACTTTTGACGGCACAATATGTTAAAAAAATTCGAAAAATGTCATATTTTTCTTCCTATTTAATTATGTATCTTTTCAAGAGTTGATTTTAGGCGAAAATTGAAGAGGAAAAAAGTGTTTGTAATTAAATTTTACAAAATATGACTAGTTTCAAATCGAATGAATCATGATTATTATTGTAAAAATCGAAAAAATCACCAAAAAACGCCAAAAATGAAGTTAAAAAACATTACTTTTTGGGGAATTTTTTTGGCGTCTTTAAATTGAGTATAGGACCTTCATACTTGGCTCAAGAAAAGTTCATGTTATGTAGGATCATCACACCAAATTTCATCAAAATCGGTTCTATAGATTCTGCATAATAATTTTGCAATCTAGATTTTGAAAAAAAAATTACCAATTTTCAAAATTTTGCACAGCAAAAACCAAGGCTGTTAGATACTTGAAAATTTAATCACATATAGAAGGGCTCTCAAGTTTTCAAACGCTTTTTGAAAAATTCGAATCCGTCAATTAGGAGAGCTCTGGCGCTTATTTAAACATTTGTCGAATTTTTGTACTATAAATTTGTATTTTTGTAATATTTCTCATTGGCTTATATTTTAAACAATAAATTATATTTGAATTATACTTTAAAAGAAATGATGTTTAAATTAATAATTAATTAATTACTAATTTTCGACATATTTTAAAAATAAATGAAGGTCCTATACCCAACTTAAAGACCCCAAAAATATTCACAAAAAAAATAATGTTTTTTAACCCCATTTTTGACGATTTTTTCAATTTTAACAATAATAATCATGATTCATTCAATTTACAAACATTTTTTTCCTCTTCCATTTTCGCCTTAAATCAACTTTTGAAAAGATACATAATTAAATAGGAAGAAAAATATGACATTTTTCGAATTTTTTTGACATATTGTGCCGCCAAAAGTTAAGCCCACGTTTTTTTTATGGGCATAGAAAAATTTTCATTCCTAGTGATATTTGGAAGTCAAAAATTCAAAAATCTCCGTGGATATACGATTCACCCAAATATGGACTCTTTGAACAGATGCCGTCTGGAATATAATATGTACAATCCCAAAACTTCTCGATTTAATATTTTGAAGTTAAGCAATAAAAACTGTTTCCTGAGTTACCCCTTCTAGGGTCTGTATCTTCCTTAGGGGCCGCCACTGACAAAAACTCTGCTAAGGTTTTCATCATATTTCGACATGTTTTACATACTCCCCAATTTTGAGTACTTATTTCGTTAACACCTTGTGTAATTTATATTGCCAAAAGGTGAAGATCTAATTTTTCAAAAGGTTGTAAATAGTCGTTTATTAAATTACAATTTTGGTCAACTTGCCTGAATTTTTTTATATAAGTTAGTTTAAGGTCTGTAATAATAAGTGACAGTAATATTTTTGCAAGAGATGATAAAAAATATATAAAGTGTTTTTTCAAGATAACCCAAAAGAGATAAGAGCTAGAAAAAAGTTTCTTATAAAAGTTGTGGAGTATAAAATTTTACATAAAAATGATCTAATGACTTTTTCTTCCGCTATTAAATTTGTCAGGGTTAGAGAGGCTCATTTTATTGGATTATTAAGAAGGTTTTGGATCCATGTTTAGTAAATAAAGTTATTGTATTCCCGTTCCGAGAATCGATCGGAGGATGTAATTTTTATCTAATACTTATAGATTTAGGTTGCGCCCATGTTTTATGTATTATAATAAAGAGGTTATTCACTTGCTACAGTTACATAAATTGTTATAATAAATAATATAAATAATTATGAGGGCCTATAGAATTTACAGCTTTTAAAACCAATTATTACATAATTCCAGCAGATATTTTACATTTTCTGATGCAGTATGTGCTATTATGGCTCCGTCTTGATGAAAAAATCCACATTGCAGTCCGTCATTATGCATTATATTCCAGATAATAGAGGAAATAAAGCACTGAACCAAGTCGTATCAAGATGGGGTTTTTTGCATTCGGTTTCTAAAATTATGTGAAAAAAATGTAGCAACTTTGTATTATGTTTTTCGGCCAAATTGCATTTGTGCAGTGGAAAATTCATAACTCGGTTAATAATGCCTGGAATTTGTACAGAAACGAACAATTTCGTAATTTAGAAGTTCAAAAAACGATAGAAATTTTATACAGGGAATTTAAAATGGCATTTTCGGAAACATACAAATTGTTTTGCCTAATTTTAACAATTCCTGCAGCAAGTGTCTCGGTGGAAAGAAACTTTTCGTGTATTAAGCTCATTAAGACACTTAAAAAATACGATGACACAAGGGCGCTTAAACAACTTTTCAATGATGATCAATGATCATTTTTCAGAATAATGCTACTGAAAGTAGGGTTCATTTTTTTGCTGTTTTTCTAGCAATATTTCTAATGAAATTATAGACTTCTTTATATAGCTGAATGCAGAAAAAAATATCTTCCAGAATTGATAAAAAAATATATAGTGAGCCATTTGAATAAAAACAGTTGACTATAGCAATTTTAAAATATGTTACCATGGAGNTAAGTCACCCGGTATATACGTCACTTTTTCGTTCAAAGATACCAAAATAATAATCAAGACAAGGACTCGTATACAGGGTGAGTTGGAACAATTTCATGCCAAATGAATTTAACCAAAAACCGTTCATTTTATAAAAAATTGAAAGAGAGCTGTTTTGTTCCGAATTGATTAAAAAATTTAGAAATTATGTTATTTTCCAGAAAAATCCACGGGCGTACGAATTATTTTTTTAAAGGGGGCAGTAACCCATCTCAGGCACGTCACTGGTGTGTGAAATGGATAACAGATATATTTGTTTTATTCACCATAACTAATGTGTTATTAATACCAAATTTCAGTTCAATATATGCTGATCTTTTAGAGATATTAAGAAAAATTCTTAAAAAAAGTTTGTTTTCAACACCCTATATCTCACAAACGAAGCGTTCTAAGACCTACGTTTATAGGAACTTTTCTTATTAAAAAATGATTCTCTATCAACTGTTAAAATTCTACTACAAAAAACTGACTCACCCTGTATTGTAGTGAACGCTAACGCTTTGGCGCTGCAGCTTTCCGTTCGTGTGACCCAATCCTTACATATGAATTTTTATCTCTTAGTTGTTCAGTTAAACGCCTTTAACTAGTGACAAAGCACGTAAACCTTTCGAGATATTGGCGAATTGTCAACTGAAGTGTTGCTAATACATCAAACAATTAATCGCTATCAGCGAAAGGATACGTGTTTGACTAGTTCGCAGCTAAACATACTTTATTAATCTTCTGCAAAGTGTGTAGTGCATTTACAGGTAAAACTTAGTACATCAAAATATACTAGAAACTCCTATACGTCATGCTATGCAAGTGATTGATGCAGACAACAACGCAACGACAAACAAAAAAGATTTGAACGAACGAAGAACTTTAGTTCTTATGCTGGGCTTTGTCTGGACCGCGATATACAAAATGATTTTCCGTTTCCTCGGGTTGATTTTCGCCCACGTTTTCTCTTTGCAGCTTTGGGCCCTGTGCCAACGACTTCGTGACCGGGCGACATTAAGGGCCTGCCTAATCAAGTGTGACACAGAAAAAGTTCTTTAAATTCCCGATACGTAAACAATAATCGGGGGTGGTCTGCCTTACACGCGAAGGGAGGATTGCGAAAGGGACCGAGGTTATTTTTACGTTTTTTTTTGTCGGACGCGATCGATATACGGGGCCGATCGGCCTAAAATAGCGGCGACTCGGCACTGATTAGCCAATATATTTTATAATAGAAGCCGTTATCCCTGTGTTTGTTAAATAACGCCGCTTTCGTAATTCAATTTCAGCCTCAAGGGTGTACGATAATGGCGGAGACCTTGCGGTCCCAGAATTGAACATTTGTTCACTGAAAGTAATAGATACTTGAAGTAAGTAAGTAGGTAACGCCATTTTTTTAATATACAGGGTGGGCAATTAGTGTGAGAGAGTACAATAACTCCCTTGTTACTTTATAATACAGAAAAAAAGTTTATATAAAATATATTATATTGTATATTATCTTCTCTTCAACAGCTTTTTTCTTGCTTTTGCTATTTTCTGTTCAAGTGTCGGCTGTAATTTGTACAATGCCGAGAACAACCAGTTCTAGAATAATCTATAAGATTGTGACTTAGATAAGTGAAACCCCTCCCGACTTCCGCTTCTGATATTTACATTAGAGGAGCAATTAATAATTAAGCCAGCGAGGAGCTTCTCAAAATTTTAACCCAATTAGAGGCGCACCTTTTTGCCTACATTAAAGTTTCATGGGGATATATACATATTTACCTAATATCTAATTTCGGGTAATGAGGTCTCACTTCCCCGTCAGCCTTTAATCTTGTGAATTCGCTAAAACTCGACTTCATCCGACCTTAAATAATGTTCCGGTGGAATGCATGT